TGCAACTTTGTCATAGACTTTGCGTCTCAGAAACCCTTGTGAGCATCAAGGTGTTAGATCATGAAGGAGTACCAGAAGCCATACAAAAGCTTTATGGTGTGACGGGACATTCTGCAAGGTTGTGGGGACCAGTGTGGGTAACTATTGAGCTCATGGGCATAAAGGAAAGACAGTAAAGTACACTTAGCTGACATTGAAGACGAATGCATATTAGGATTAGACTATCTACTACCGAGGAAATTTGTAATTGATTTTGATAAAATGATGTTTGGGAATAACGAAGGCCAAGTTCCGGTAACTGTTAAAAGAGGGGTTGAAATAATTAGGTGCCATCAAGGTGAAGTCAAAGTGACTGAAGAAGTTGATGATGACGAAGTGGAACCAGGTATCGATATTAAAGCAGAGCAGATTTTCTAAAAGCAAGTGTTTTGCGCCCTGCTCGGGAGAAGGTGTCTAGTCTAAGCCCTCTGACAAAGCACAATGGGACCAGTTAAGGCTTGAAGGTGGTATTCTTGTACGGAGATGGGAAACTACCGATGGGAAAATGACGACTTGACAAACAGTTATACCGGGGATTAAACTCTGACATATTCTCAGGCAACTCTTCATAAGGTGGGCGTCCCTTATGCTTGGGTCCCCTTTTAGCACTACATGTACTGCATGTCCTGCACCATTCTTCCACATCTCGCCTCATACCTATCCAATAAAATCTTTGTTGTATGTGACTCAATGTCTTCTTCATTCCGAGATGTCCTCCTGTTAAACTATCATGGGATTGACGCAACACAACTGCCCGTAACGTGAAAGTGTTATCGGAAAGGATGGATGATATTCACCATCAAGTGCGTACAAACTTGAAAACGTCTTCTGATTCGATGAAGATGACTTATGATAAGAGATCTACTGAAGTCAGCTTTGTACCAGGAGACAAGGTGTGGTTGTATAATCCCAGGAAGACCAAAGGGAAGTCTCCTAAGTTGTCTTCACCATGGGAAGGCGCATATGATATAGTGGATCGTCTCTCAGACGTGACTTTCCGGATAAAATGTGGTCGGCGAGGTAAGCCAAAAGTGGTGCATGCCAACAGGCTATGGCATTATCACGGTCCAGGACATTTCAGTTGGGATGAAGGGGACAACAGAACAAATGACGCTGATGAAGACGTGCCACCTGAAGAAGCCACCATCGAAGAAGAAACTCTACTCAGTTTTGAGAAGGGAAACGGTGAAGCTCTTTGTGAAGTTACTACCACTTATGTGACTGTTACCGATGATAGGACATTTACTGATGAAGCAGATGAATCCCACATGCAGCAGAAGCGAACGAGACGGAGACCAGTATGGAAGAAGATACGTCCCGTAAAATTAAGAGACTTTGTTGAATTGTAATTTTGTGTTTGTAATTCTGTACAGTTAATTAAGTTATTGTTAATTGTTATTGGTTTGTTGTATGTGGTTGTTGTTCGGGACGAACAATATTAAGGAGGGGGCAGTGTTGCGTCAGCGAGATCACGTGACTATTCTCACGCCCTCTGCTTTCTAAAACTATCCTGTACCTTGGCGAATGCTCTGGCATTTACTAGATAGAGGGTAGTCTGGTATATAAAAGAGGGTGACAACGTGAAAAATAATGCGTGTGTATGTAATGAGTAATTGAAATGCAGTCAGAGAGAGACGTATTGTTGAAGTTAACGTTCGTTGTTATAGCGTTTGTTTTAGTGCGATTGTTGAAATTAAGTGTATCGTAAAGTTATGTTCGGAAAGAGTAAACCAGTTTTATTAAGTAAGGACTTGTGTCGCTAAAGTTTTGTCGGAACGAATTTACGGGAAATCAATTAACAAACGGAGACGTAACAATATTATATGCCAACTAGCTACTTCTCATAAGCCCTTTTGGATTTCTTGATGTATTTTCTAACCAGATCCCTAGTCTTGCTGTAGTTCTGTAAAGCTTCCATCCTCTCTGTGAAATTAAACTTTTTTAAACTTGTAGGTTTTATTCCTAATTTTCTCTTTTATGTTTTTACTAAGTCAGTTAAGTTTTAAAATTTGAGTTATAGAAAGTTGATTTAGACTTTTTTTTTCCTCCAAAACATAAAGAAATCTAAGAATGATTTAACTTCTTTAAAATTGTTACAGTTATGAAAATGTTTCCCTTTGAGTTTTCAGTTTAATTACCATTGTGGAATTGTAAAGTTTATTGTTTATATTAATAAGTTTGAAATTTGAAATCCCGCAAGTTTGTCTAGAGTCGTAACTTGCAATCATATTATGTTTTTTTTTACCTACTTAAGTTATATAAAAATTTCAAATTTTCTCTTCACATATTTAGTTTGTGTGCAGCTTTACCATAAACATGTGGTCCAGAAAGTCATTGAGGTTGCCTTATTCTAGTTGCTTTCTTTGTTCTCTGTAGTGGATACAAGGTAATGTCTATTCTGCATCAGTTGATATTGCAGTAATATATTGCATCTGTCTTAACCCTTTCGATACGGGTCACAGGTGAAAGGCCATGTCATCTTGTTTGTTGACTCGCATTCAGAATTTTATTGAACTACTATTTCATTAAATTCATGTCAGTAAGTTTGGTATCAGACTGTAGATTATAATTCAAAATTATGAACTTTACATTACTCAATTTGTTAAATTAAAAGTAAATAAAAAAAACAACAGATAAACATCGATTTTTATGTGTCATGTTGAATGCAGCACTGGTTCAAATTAGGTGTTTGTGAAGTCAAAATACAAAGTCTATAGTTTCATACAAATTAGAAACTCAAATTACAGATATTGACAATCTAGAATATAAAATAAGAAGGTCTTATCTTTTATATTTGCTAAGATATTGCTCATGTAATAAATCAAACACAGTGGCACCTCAACCACATCTTTACATTTTTGGAAATGCTCCCTCATATACACTTACTTCTATGTATGACATGAATAACCAATTAGAAGCTCAGAATGTCCCCCTAGTGGTTTTCTCAGCCTTTCTAATGTTTCTTCCACCAATTCTTTCTTTGGAACGAAGTTTTCAATGAGGCAGGTTGTATCTTTAGTCTGCTTGAAATTTCATATATTTTTTGGACCCAAATATAGCTTAGTTACTAAGCTTGATAAATTATAGTAGAATTATGTGGTATTGATGTAGTAATTTATCATTTTCTGGTATTTCAGATATATATCTATCCTAAAAAATATATTTTGTTTCATATCTTCCATGTGAAAAATTTTCAAAGGCCTAGCAACCTTTGTCAAGCAACAACCGAGTACAAAGGTCTTAACTAGAACAGAAAATTGTTTACTTTAATTATTTATTTACTGTTCTATGTTTTAGGAAAAATAACCTTTAGAAATTATTTCAAAATAGCAATAATCAATATATATAATGTATAATAATTGAAATGTGACTATTTTACAAAATACTAGTCTACTAAAACACAGCCAAAACTAACTTTAAACAGACCAAAGGCCACTTTTACGTCATTTGATATGGTAACATGAGTGCACATGAGCCGCATCATTGTAACTTCTATATTGTTAGCCAGGCACATGTGAAATGTCAATATAATAAATATATATAAATGTATAATGTTACAAGATTTAACCAATTTAGTCTAAACATTTA